TGTTCGGACCCAAATCACCAAACTACCCGTTGATCGCTACGGCTCCGCTGATTGGTCGCCGGTCTGGCTGCACCTGCACTCGCCCCCCATACTACCTGATGTCTGGGGTCGCCCCAACATCAGTCCTCAGAATGTTCAGTGCTTTCGTGGCCAGCACTCCTCCCAGCTAGACTCTAGCGTGTACTGAGAAGAGTGGTGGCTTCAAGCCAATATTCCAGCACCTCCCATTTTACTTTGTATTGCACTTCTTGTTATTTTGCCTTAACGTAACTTTTCATTGTGTCATCTAATTATTCTTATTATTTTGATTGATTTTATTATACATATTTGTTTGTGCATTTTATTCATGTTTTAATTTATTTAACGTAATTAAAATTTCATTGTTAAAGTTTACTTGTGTTTTGTGTGTCTTCTCCTTACCTTACCACAGACGAAGTTCCAGTTTTTTCTATTTTTTTTTATAACTATGTGACGAGGCCATACCCCTAGCCTTAAACAGCCGAACACCAACGCGTTACCGTCACACTATGCTCTCACAATGGGTGGCTGATTGTAGAATAAGGAGTTGGGTGGGTGGCAGGGCAGGCACTTAGCAGGTGGATAGCAGGGCAATCAGGAGACTGTAGGTGGGCAGATGAGTAACAGGATGGGCAACCCGTTCTCACACTTTCGAATAGTCAATATTGACTTATTAAATACGTGCATATGTGACATACTAATTTATTGTGAATATTTTAGTTTACCTTGAAAAGCTTCATAGAAAACACCGAACTTACCTAACCTTCTTAGTATGTTAAGATAAGCATCTTATTGCTTCTTCATTACAATTGTTACTTAACCTATTATAGGTATAGGTTAAGTTTTTATCCTTAATAATAATAATAATAATAATAATAATAATAATAATAACAATAATAATAATAATAATGTTTATTCAACAGTATGTGTGTACAAAGAACTTGAGAGTGATGCACAATTGTGGGTACAGGAGTTACACATACTAATGAAGCCACTATTACACAAAGCATTTTGGGCAAAAATTAAGAAAATATAGAAACAAATTAACTAAAGGCATGAGGGAGTAAAAAACTTAATACTGAAGGGAAAGTAAGCTAACAAAGTGAGAACATTTAAAGAAAATAACAAATGAATGCCCAAAAAAGTTGATACTTAAGGTTGACCGACATAGGCTATTACATTATGGAGTCAGTACCTTTAGCCTATTACAGTACAGTACTTTATTTACATTAGTAGCAGAGTCCAAATACAAAGTGAAATTTAGAAAAGCAACTGGACTCTTTCTCATACCACTTTCTTGGAACATAAAAGAACATAGTTATATGTTATTAAAATTAAAATGTTATAATAAAAAGAATTATAGTAATTTAAGTTCAACGGGCCCAACACTAAAAATAAACAAGGATCATAAAGGACAGGATTAAACACTAACTCTGTGATGCATCACACTAACCTCTGTGATGCCCCGTGTTTATTGTGATATTCTGGCTGTACGCCGAAAATCAAGTGTTCGCAAAAAATAAACATTTCTTTGTAATGTGTTAAACTCCCTTCCCTGAACATGTACATGTAAAAAAAAAAAATATTCCACTTACTCTGGCTGTTGGGTCGTGGAAAAAGTGGTGCATGACGTCATCACAAGTACCTGTAGGTGGTATGTAGCAAAGCTTGTGAAGTGTAAGGTAGTCTTGAAAAGATTATAGAAAAATATCAATTTGTAAGATAGGATTGAGAAAATCCAGGTATTCTTGGAAAGTTCAAGGAAAAGCTCACTGACAATATTTTGTTTTGAAATTATTCATATCTTCACCTGTATATGGGGAAAATGGATGCAACACTAACATCAGAATCATCAAATTGTGGTTTGTGTTACAAAATGACCACAGTCCTCCCTTGCAAATATACCCGTGCTCCTTGGATTGCCACCACCAGCACTAGCAATAAACACCACCATGAAAGCCGCTAACACACTGTTCATCTATGCTACTTGTATCAGACACATCTTCACTAAACTCTGAAAACGATTCATCAATAGTATAATCTATAAAAATTGAAGATGACATGGGTAGGCATAGGTGGCGCTCAGCCACTATTGGATACGCTCGCTGTATCGTCCTCATCGGTACTGTATCACTGGTATCCGACACGTGTTGATTCCTTATTGTGTCTAGCTTCATCAATATCATGACCCCTATGTTCTTCAAACAATAAGGTCTGAATTTCTCCGACGGAAAGCGATCTTTCAACACCCTGATTGACAGGGGATTAGGAGCCAGAATTACGTGTGGCAGCCAAAGTTGCTCATTCAAAACTGATCCACCCAGCAGCCTTAGGGTAAATCTGGGAATTTATTTCAAGATGGCTATTGGAGGTCCCAGGGGCCAGACTCACGAAGCTGTTACGCAAGTACATACGAACGTGTACATCTTATCTCAATCTTTAACGGTTTTGGTTACATTTATTAAACAGTTTACAAGCTTGAAAACTTTCCGATCAACTGTTTTTATTGTTATAAACAGCACCTTGGTGCTTCAGAGTTCATTAACTGTTTAATAATTGTAAAACAAAGCCGCCAAAGATTGAGAAAAGATGTACAGGTTCGTATGTACTTGCATAACTGCTTCGTGAATCTGGCCCCAGGAGTCCATTTGTATCTAACCTACCGTGCGCATTTTGAATGGGTACGAAATCTTAAATGTGATTTTTCTTGGCCTGCATAGTTTTTGCTAGACAAGTTTTCTCACCCAGCGTAGTCCAGTGGTTAACAAAGAAACGCAAGAAATTGGATGACATTAAATGTAAAAAGTACATCATAGTAAATAAAAACTTGAGAAAAGAGTAACACAAAAATAGCTTATTGCAAGGGAAAATGTGAGTGAAATTAGTTATATGGTATTGATTATATGATATTTATTACGTGGTGCAGTGTGCCTTTCTTTTCATAGGGAGTGGCATGGGTTTTGTCGGACCCGCACGCTCAAATAGCTAGAGGCTGCTACCATTCTGCAAGTTTACCTGGGGGCGAGTTTGAACGTCCTAATGCATGCTTATTCACTCCTGTGGTTCTTCGGGATGTTGGCCTTGTTCAGCTGCACGTCCAGATTTCCACCCTTTTGGTATCCTTGACGGCTGAGGACTTGAGTGCACGCAGGTATTTGCCCTCGTCTTGCGCTTCTTTTCCCTTCTTGAGATGTCTTCAGACTGGCGATCTTTCCTCTGTGATGTCTTCAGATGTCTTCAGACTGGCGGTGGCCAGCACCCCAGATTTGTCTGGGGAGCTGGCCTCGGACGTGGCCGCACTGTTGAAGCTGTTTGCGCCGATGCTCAGGTAGGCACTGTCTCTGTTATTTGCCTCTCACCTCGCAGGCCTCCAGGCCGTGCATGCTCACTCTTTGGCCTACGCTTTGACCTTGGCTCTTAGATTTTCATCCCTTTTTTTTGTCCGTTGGTGTTTTCTGAGTCTGCTCTCACGCAGTTTCTGCAGCCAGTCTCATCTAGTTGTCGTATTTGTTGCTTCTCTGGGGTGGCTGTTCTCGGGCCTCTCGGGAGGGCTGTGGGGGGCTTCTCAATGTGTGGGGCTTCTTCTGGTCAAGGCCCTTAGCACCAGTTTCTGAGCTGGCATCTTATTCGGAGCCGGCGTCAACAGATCGGCGCGATGCTCGCTCTTCTTGTCAGGCGGCTTCTCGTAAGGGGCGTTGGACCTTTTGCGGTTCTCCCCGTTGACGGGGAGCTGTGGGGGGGGGGGGGGACTGGTGATGTTTGCTCATGCCTTGTTCCACGATTTGTGGGCGTTTCGGGTCGTATCCATTAACCTGTGGTGGCATTGGGCGGCTCCTCTTCCTCCTCCTCCTGAGGGTACAGGGCAGGCTTCTTCCCCTTCGCTCCTTCGGGTCATCTTGGAGTGGGTGCGTTTGAACGTTGTCAAAACGTCCTCAGGTGGGTCTCAGGAGACCCCTTAGGTGGGTCTCGGGAGACCCTCAGGTGGGTCTCCCGCCTGTTTCCATTACCGAAACGGAACTGTGCGGTTCTGATGTTCATTCTGGACTTGTTCCATCTGAACCCCTGGAGTCCTTACCCCTCGTTTCGGATGACCACTCTGTCTCAGGTCTGCTTGTTTACTTGTTTCTTTGGGAATTGAGGGAGTTCGGCCTCTCGTTTCGGGTTTCGGTCGCAATTTTGTTACCATGTGGGGTCTGCTTTGTTATGCCTTTCTGGGTGCCTAACCCGGTCGATGGCAGATAAGGAAAACCTCCAACCCCAGGGGTTTTTTCCAGGGCTATTGCTCCCTTTGCCTCTCTTATGGGGCCATTTTCTGGCTCGTGGTCCCCGGTAGGCTGAACTTCGTTGACTAAAGACCTGGTCTAATGTATATTATATTCTATCTATTGTATATTAGCTCGCTAGCTCAAGAGAGCCTCCGGGGCTCACTCAGAAAATTGCATTTCATTACATTCAACATTGGTTTTATAGATATAGTGAAAACCACTGAAGCATGGGTCCAATAATTAACTGGACATTCTCAACTTTGTTTAATCTATCCATTGGCCTGGGGCAGACCCATTGCACACCGCTGGCTAAAAGTGACCGACTTTACATACTGTTTAGTATGTAGTGTTGGTTGCTTTCAACAAATAGTGCCCACTAGGAAGCTGCTTGCAAATTGAAAATGCGTTGAAAGATAATGTAATTTATTAATGTATATACTGTACAGTATTACCTAAATTTATTATTTAATGACTATATGGTGTCACTGAATGGTGTTGCTGGATTGTATGATAAACCTGTTTTAACCATGGGAAACCATTCAAAGAAAGAAGAGATAGTCCAAAGGAGACCATGTCGTTTTTCATTGTGTTTGAATGGTCCCAAGAGGCCAAAATGGCTATTTTCGGGAATTTTATACTGAGTTATTTGGTAATTTGTGTGTCCTGTATAAATGAATGAACTAAAGAAGTTTGTTAAATCTGACAACTTAATTTCAGATTGAAACATTTGGCTATTTAAGCTTCACAAGTTCAACAAATCCCAACTCGTGTCAGCCAAACAATATGTTAAAAAGGATTGAGTGTGACATTGGCATCTTATTCACTACAAACTCCAAGGTATGTTCCACATTGTGACCATCTCTGTTCAATTTGTCATAAAATTTAATTTGTTTACTAATTTTATTTGACAGTATAATAAAGTGATAAACGAGTCGTTCAGAGTCAGTCATCAAGGGACTGCATTTTTGTGTGTGTTTTAGTTTTACCACTCCTGACTCAGGACAATCTGATGAATGAATGACATGTCATTTATGACATGACATTTATGACTTATGACATTTATGAATACAGCAAATTTAAACCACTTTGAAAATGTTGAGGGAGATCTCATTTCTCTAAACCTAGTTTCCTCAACATTTAAATACTACACATTGTTGAACTTGAGTTCAATTACCTTTCAGTGTAAGAAGTTGATGCTTGATTCTTTACACCCATTGCTATTGTTTACCTATCTTGAGGTTATCTTGAGAGGATTTTGGGGCTTAGCATCCCCGTGGGCCGGTCCTCGACCAAGCCTCCTTTTTGTTACACCCCCCCTCCCCCCGGAAAGCAGCCCGTAGCATCTGTCTAATTCCCAGGTACCTATTTACTGCTAGGTAAGATGGGCATCAGAATGAAAAACATTTTTGCCCATTTGTCTCCGTCTCCACTAGGGATCGAACCCAGAACCTCAGGACTACGAATCCGAAGCGCTGTCCACCCAGCTGTCAGGCGCCGGTAATATAATTATTACCTAGTAGGAAATAGTTATCCAGGCACTAGGCAACTGTTGTGGGTTGCATCCTGGGAATGGCTTTGGCCTGGGAAAACCTTACACCTGATGATTGTGTTCACCTTGCAGTAAATAGGTTTCTGGGAGTTAAATAACTGTTATACTACTGTAACATAACTGTAATAACTATATATATGAAATTGGTTTTAATTTCTGAGAAAGTTTCTTTAAATTCAATCGATAATTCTGCATAAATGTTCCAATTTAGAAATTCATAACTTAATAAATTAGACATTAAATTGGACTTCATAAATATATTTGACAAATATATACATGGCATATAATATGTGAAATTGATAAGAATCAGTTTGAAATTACGTTCAGTATAGCCAACTTTTCATTCTGAAGTTGAAAAACTCGCGTTTGAATATATATGGATTGAAGTTGGTACCACTAATAGAAGAGGTAGATATCTGATGATGCCCATCAAACTTGACACATCTATGACATCTAGAGTATTCATTTTTGAGGTGCAGTTTCAACCATGTCGCTTTTCAAACAGTGGAGAACAAATTAATGAAAACAAATTATATATTCTGTGCATATTCAGAGAGGGATGTTTGCATATGTGTATCTAATTTCTTTGGTTAATTCTTTTAACTTAAATCTTATGGTATATTTATACACTAAAAAATACATATTTATGTATAATTGTACATGTATAATGAGTATAGACTGTAATGTTGTGTACCATGTATACTGTGTATACATAGTATAGTCAGGGGTGCAGTGCCAATTTTATAAGTGCCGGAGCTCTGGTGGACCTGACAAAAGCCTGTTATTTCCTATCCTGTTTCTATATATGTCACACGATTAAGTATTTCGTGTTTGTACTCACCAAGTATCATAAAATATAATTATCAAACAAATAAAGAAAAAACATCAATCATGAATTTATCAATTTAAGGAGTTCGTGCTCACAAAATACAACAAGTGAGAAGCTTCACAATAGTTTCCACAAAGGGTCAGGTGTGATGTTTTCGGAGGCCTGAGGTAACTCTTGTCCCGGTATCATCTGTCGATCGGTGGTACCGCAGCCATGATATAGCATATTACCCAGTATTCCACTGAACTAGAGGAAGAGGTACATATTTTTTGTACCTCTAAATTAAAAGAGGTACACCTCTTGATTTAGAGGTGATCGACTGTAAACTAAGTACAATTTGTCCAAAAATGCTTGAAAATTATTAATTCCATGAACTTCTTTCACTGGATTGTCTACTGCAAATTCTAATATGTGATTAACCACTGTGATGCACTGGCTTTAATCCCTGGGCTGCTCTTGCAATTATAGCCAGTAACACATCCAGGTGCAAGAAATGGAAAATATATAAATACAAATTTTGTGTTATAAAAGTGTTCATTTGTGTTCCCTGATCATGGGAAAAATAATACAAAAAAATCGTAGGTGGCATATTTTTGCCGCAATGGGGCCGGGAGGTCCGGCAAAAAAAGAAAAAAAACAGCGTTGAATATAATGAAACACCATTTTCTGAGTGAGACCCGGAGGCTTCTCATAGCTATCCAGGCTGATATGAATGTATTAGACCCTGGCATCAATCAGGTGAATGGAATTCTTAGGCTTACCGGACACCACGAGCCAGAACCTGGCCCCCTCAGAGAGACACGAGGAGCAATGTCCTGTAGAAACCCCCGTGTGGTTAGAAGCATTCTATGTCTGCCATCGACTGGGTCAGGCACCCAGAAAGGTAAGCGCCCCCCAAACCTAATCCCTATTCTGGTGAAAATATTGCTACTGAAAGCCGAACTAGTGAACAGAACTCCCTAAATGAAAACGAGCAAGACGTCACCACGTTGCGCTTCACGATTTTGCGTGAAAAACAGAAAAAAGTCACCACATTATCGTGCCACTTTCTGTGCAACCCCCCTCCCTTCCGCCCCCTTCCTGGAAGACGGAAGAGGAAGCCCCAGACCCTCACGCCAGCTATCTACCCCGGAGTTTTGAGGATGGATGTCATAAACGCGAAAAGAAAAACCGCCGACCGGAGGGAGGGATGCCAGAGAGCTTCTGGGTCTCACCCAAAAAATGGTGTTTCATTACATTCAACGCTGGTTTTCCGGTGGGAGCCAAATCGGCTCCCCAGAGCTATTTACCCAAATACAAAAACTAGAGAAACTTACCCGGGAGGCGGTCGGCCCTCGCTCCTCAATGCAAAGTCGAGACAACTGGGGGTAATCCCCGACCCAATGTAACACATTCCCAACTTGGCCCAGGAATGTTCACAAGGTAGCGAGCGGCCAGGATCCTGTTCGACCTGTTAAAACCCCAGGCTCGAATGTCAGCCCAAGACATGTTACCGAAAACGGCAGCCAGTGCAACAAACTTACTAACGTCGTGAGCACGAGGATAGACTGCAAGCTGGCTAGATCGATAACACTGCAGACGACCTAGGAGACCCGAACCATGGAACAGGGAAGGGAAACCTGGTCAACCCATACAACGAAGGAATGTATGGGTTGTCCCATATAACCCATACGTCAAAAACGATCCCGGCCACCGAAGACGTGGCACACAGGTAGCGGCGGAGCTCCGCAACCGAACACAACACATGATGCACCCCCGGCCTAACCAACCAAGCATCAACAACTCAAGGACCTCTCCGGAAAGCAGCAGTCTCATTCTTCGCCAGAAAAGAAGGAAAAGGCTGCAAACAAACAAACTTACCACCAGGACGAACTGAGCAGGATCCCCTGTGTCGGAGGAGAGCACGAAGCTCTCCGACCCGACCCCCAGAGGCCAATGCCAAAAAGAAAAGCTGAGCGTCCCAGCAAACATTTTTGCGTTTTCTAAACGTGCTAAAAACGACATTTCATTGTTTTGGGCACGTTTTAAGTAACGTTTAATATGCATGTTTTGAGAATTTGTAAAGACTAGTATAAAACGTGATGTCATAACGTTTCTTATAAAACGTGATGTCATAACAAGCCTTTCGAGTGCCTCTCTTCAAGTAGACTGTACCCTAGTTTTTTCCAAGTGTAAGCCTCGTATCCTGTTTATGTGGACCAAGGTAGTTAACGTAAGATAGTGAGGTAAAGTGTTTATACTATAGTAATGTATATGGGGGGTTATTAGAGGGTTTAATAAATAAGTTAGTGTTTGAGGTGTATCCATGAATCCTGTTGAAGTGGTGTAGATGATTGTCTTTTAGACAACAGATCTGTAATCTAAAACCTTCAAGCATTAACAGGAACCTATGTTCTTTGGGGGCTGGGCCTATCTATCCCACTATTTTTGATACATCTTGATTCTAGCTATTGGCCCTTCTGAGTAACACTTCATACCCCTCTATAACAACTCTCCAAACACACACACACATGCACAAACTCAACCACTCACACACATACACACACACATGCGAGGCTGGCTAACATCAAAAAAGCCTTCATGAACCTGTGTAAGGAATCGTTTAGAATCTTGTACACCACATATGTAAGACCAATCCTGGAGTATGCGGCCCCAGCATGGAGCCCATACCTTGTCAAGCACATGACGAAGCTGGAAAAAGTTCAGAGGTATGCCACTAGACTAGTCCCAGAACTAAGAGGCATGAGTTACGAGGAAAGGCTGTGAGTAATGCACCTTACGACACTGGAAGACAGAAGAGTGAGGGGAGACATGATCACTACCTACAAAATCCTCAGGGAAATTGACAAGGTAGACAAGGATAAAGTATTCAACACTGGCGGTACGCGAACAAGGGGACACAGGTGGAAACTGAGTACCCAAATGACCCACAAGGACGCTAGAAAGAACTTTTTCAGTGTCAGAGTAGTTAACAGGTGGAATGCATTAGGCAGAGATGTGGTGGAGGCTGACTCCATACGCAGTTTTAAATGTAGATATGATAGAGCCCAGTAGGCTCAGGAATCTGTACACCAGTTGATTGACAGTTGAGAGGCGGGACCAAAGAGCCAGAGCTCATCCCCCGCAAACACATCTAGGTGAGTACAACTAGGTGAGTACACACACACACACACACACACACACACACACACACACACACACACACACACACACACACACACACACACACACACAGTAGGCCGGGAGACGGTAGGGGACACACACGATTAAGTGAGGTCCGCGGAAATTCGCCAATTTCTCGGGACATTGAAGGATTATAGAGGCTAGATCATAGTATTTGGCCTCTCGCATTGTGTAGCTAGCAGGGTGCTACATAGCATAGTCATATCGCTAGCGATAGTGCGAAGAAACAAAGTGGAGATAGTGGCATCACCGGAGCATATAAGTGCGGAGGACTGC